GGGTCGGATTTGTGAACAATAAGGACTAAAAAGGGGATTTTTTCGGTATAGGGACCAAAAAAGGGCTTTTTCCTATAGTAGAGGGACCAAAAAGGGTATTTAACCTTATTTTTATAAAATTAATAATTTTAATATAATAAATAAAAATATTTAAAAAATACACTTATTTATTTTTAAACATATCCTTATTAGTCATTTAATGTTAAACAAAAATCGCTAACTATTGTATAACTAAACAGATATATTTATCGAATATGTTATTTATCATTCGTTACCTACTTTCCACTATCCGCCATCCACTATCCGCTAACTGTCACCCACCATCCGCTACCACCATCCACTATCTGATATCTGTTATCCACTGAATTTTAATCACTGTACCCAACAAGCCTTTAAGGAGAGAATAAACCTAAGAAAACAAAATAAAAAGATTAAAAAAAAATAAAAAAAAAAACCAAACAGAGAGTAGAATGGCGTGATGGGAGAAAAGAAGTGGAAGAGAATGATAGGAAGAAGGAAGACAAAGAAAAAAAAGCGAGCGGCGGCTAGGGTTCTACTACTCCCCTCTTAATTAACACCAGTTTTAAAATTTTAGTTTTAAAAGTTCTCTGTCAAAACCTAAAAATCTATAACTTCTACTTTTAGATCCAAATTTTGAAATGTCATTCTAGAAAAGTTAAACGGTCTTCTAAGAAAACTATGCTTCACTAGCTTGCCTATATAGAGATATTAAAGTATAGAAACACAGCTTGGATCTTCATTGCCCTTTAGAAGTTCTTATTTTTATTTTTATTTTTTATCTCTTAAGAGATGCCTTAATGGTTAAAAGCTACTACCTTCATGTTTAAAGTCTCAAATTTGAAATTTAAAATAAGTAGGAAATGTTTTTGAACAGTGAAAAAAAGGAAAATTAATCTACTAGAACAATAATCTAGCAAGAAGGAAAACTCTTAATATTAGAGGAATCAACAAAAGAGGAAACGTACATGTTATAACAATCCACCGAGAAGGAAATTAATCCAAGAACCATCATTAAGAAAAGAGAAAGTATGTAATAGAATTAGTAAATCAAAAAATCCTTTGATTTTGGACATGATCATAGATTTCTTGTAAATATTATATATACATGTAAATATACATTTTCTTATGGGACATAACTCCCTCCATTTAACTTTAGTTGTCCTAATTTTTTTTTTTTGACTTTTTAAACGTTAATCTTAAATAAAAATTTAATAAAACATATGAATGGTAATTGAAAATTTTCTTTTTTTATATATAATTCTTGTTGAGTAGTTTTTTCTGTAAAAGAATTCAATTGTCATTTATATAAATATTATATGAAATTAATATTTAAAAAATCAAAAAGTTAAATTAAGATAGTTAAGGTTGAATGAGTAGTACATGTAAATACTTGTTGTGCAATAAATGAACATTTATCTTCATTCTTCCTTTTTAAAATATTTTCTTCAAATGAGAGAGCTGTGCTTATATATATATTTTGTAAATCAAAAGTTAAATGCTATTTTTTATCAACAATAACGTTAAATGCTAATTAACATTGCAAATGTTTGAATTCACATTAAAAACAAAAGATTTTTTTTTTTTTTTTTGTAAAAATAAATTATGGTTTTAATTAAGTCTCTACTATGGCTAAATTCTTGTTTTTTGGGCCAATAAGAACATATTATGAAGAAAATGCTTGTTCGATTTAGTCTCTAACTTGTTAGTTTAGTCATATTTTAGTTGCAAAAACGCACGTTAAGTCCCTCAACTAAACTCATATTTTTCAATTTAGCCCCTAGACTTTCCCCTCAACCCCACACAATTTGTTCAATTTTGCTATCTTCTATATCTTTCGTTGCAACTTTGCAATCCGCCATTTAAAAGACGGCGAAATTGTACAAATCATGGTAGGGGCTTATTCGCTTTAAAAAAAGGTCTAGGGTCTCAATTGAGAATATGGCATCAATTCTAGGGCTTAATTGGGGGTTTTCCCTATTTTGGTCTCTAAATTTCTTTTCCTAAAATTGTCGGCTAAAACATACTTTAGCTATTTATTTTAATAAATTTGTAAATTTTAATTTTTAACTTTATATTATGACACTTTTACCCATTTACCTTGATAAATTTATAGGTTTAAACCTATCACCTTATAGTATAACACTTTCAACCCCACTTATACAAATTGAAGAAAATAATCCTTACTTAAGGTCAATTTATAATGTTTTATTAGTTCTGTTAATTGACTATTAATTTTGTTAGTTGACTGTTAGCATTTTGTTAGTATTTCGTTAACAAAATATTAACGAAACTAACAAATAAAATAAAATTCAAATTTCATGTTTTCTATAACGGAATGCCAATGGATGCTAACAATCAGTTAACATAACTAATAGTCAACTAATAGAACTAACAGAACGTTATAACCTAATGTTAAGTGAGGGTTATTTTTAGGTGGGGGGTTAAAACCTACAAATTTGTTAAGGTAAAAGGGTAAGTATTATAATATAAGATGAGGAGTTAAAATCTATAAGTTTTTGCCAAAATCATCCCCCAACTTATTTTTTAACTTAAAAATGGTTCTTTTGTTGACAGAAAGTTGACGCAACCCTTTAATTGTTAAAAAATTCTTCTTTTTAATTTAAAGCCAGATGTGAAAAATATAGAAATTATTATTTTGCTTACTTAGACAATTCATTACTTAATCCTACATTAAGTTAGGGATTGAACTCACACTAATTAATTAAAATATAAAAAATATTATAAAATGTAAGAAATTTTGTTAGTGCCCTTAAATTCTTCGTCAATCCTTTCTATTTTCTTCTCTCTCTCCCTTCCATTAGGGACCATTTGGAGCTAAAAAATGTTTAGGGACCAAATGAGACCAAATTAACAAGTTGAAGGCCCAAAGCAAACATTAAAGCTTAAAAAAAGGGGAGTGGAAGGGCAACCCTTACATCTCAAGCTTGACACAAGCAGATAAGTTTAACTTAATCATCTTTTTTTATCAAAAGAAAATTCAGTTTTTAACTAAAATGATTCTTGACATCATTTAGATTGATTTAATGGCCATATCTGTTAATTATTTAAAAAAACATACTCAATAAAATAAATGAAGAAAGGTCAAAGGTATATCTTTGTAAAGAGATTTAAA